AATAGCTTAGAATATGGAAGTGTTCAGGTTTAGTGAGGGACTTCTTTATCATGGTAAAATACAAAGAATATAAAAAATTTTAACCATTTTTAAGCATGTAGTTCAGTGGCATTAAGGATATTTACACTGCTGTACAACCATTACCACCATCCATCTCTGGATATTTTTCATGTTTCAATCTGAAACTCTATGCCCATTAAATGCTAACTCCCTATTCTTCCTTCCCCCCAGCCTCTGGCAACTACCACTCTATGCATTCGATTATTCTAGGTACTTTGTATCAGTGAAATTATACATTTGTCCTTTGTCTGGCTTATTTCACTTAGCATATGTCTTCAAAGTTCATCCATGTTACAGCATGTGTCAGAATTCTCTTCCTTTATAATGCTAAATAATATCCCACCATATATATAGGCACCACATTTATCCATTCATTCATCAGTGGACATTTAGGTTGTTTTCACATTTTGGCTACTGTGAATAATGCTGCTATGAACATTTGTGTATAAATATCTGTTGAAGTAGTGAGAATTTTTTTTCATCCTTTATCATAAACATATTCATTAAGCTTGCACAATTTACAAATAAGTAGCAGTGGAAATGCCTCTTCACTGGAAAACCCCAACTCAAGATCCCTGAATAGAAAAAGAGACTCTCAGTTCTATCATATTACTGAGAAATTACAAAGTCTGCTTTATTTTCTTGTACTAAGACATTTTAGATGTTCATACTGTATTAGCCCTTCTTGCCATCTGATATACCACATATTACATTTCTGTTGTTTACATCTGCCTTTAGCCCCCTCTACCAGAATGTAAATTCTGAGGACACAGATTTTTTTTTTTCTTCACTGCTGTATTCTTGGTGCTTAGAACTGTGCCTGCTACAAAGAAAACTGTCAATAATATCTGTGAATGAATGAATGAATGAATTAATTAATTAATGATGTCCAAGTGTAATCTACCTCTGTGTTTATTGGGTATCATTTTAAAGGGCTCTACATTTGTCTTCTTTTGAACACCTTAGTATTGGTTTTACTAGGCTCTAGCATTCTACTCTAAGAAAATGTTTATAAGTTCTATAGACCTTAAAAATGTCTGGAACAAGGTATGAAAAATCATTAAGTGGTACTGGGAGATGAAAGAAGATAGAGATGTTCTAGACAAAATACATGAAAGGAATTTTGTCTCCCTCTAATTTAACTGCATTGGTCCCAAAGTGGTATTGTATAAAACATCAGAAAAATTTCTGCTTTGATAATCTAGATTTAGGGAGAAATGACAAAAAATCCTTTGACTTTTACAGTGGAGGTTGAATGACCAGTTACCATAAAAAAGAAACAAACTAAGTCATCACTTTCTAAAGTAAGAGCATTTTCATTGTTTCCTCTCAGTGCGACTATTTACCGGTTTTTACTGTAGTCAATCTAGATATGACTGTGTGGACCATCGTCTCTTTGAGATGTGAATGTGAGTTTTAAAAATAGCAGGAACTTTAAAACATTACTATAACCTAAGAGACCCGGTCCCTTTTCTTTGTAAGCAGGGAAACTTGATGCTGTGAGGTAAAATGATGTCCGGAAGCATTTTGAGCCTCCGGTTTTGTTGGAGTCATTTTCCTTTTCTTGGATTTTGGTAAGGATATAATCGTAGATCCAGTTAGAAAGGGAGATCACAATACCAGGTGTCAAATCCACAAATCAATCCTCTTCTTAATTGCCAAAGTTTGACACATCATGTATTTGTCCCTGAAAACTCTAAATGCCCTTTTATTAACAACGGGGAATTAAATTTCCCATACAGACAAATTAACTTCTAAATTATAAGAGAAACAAACAAAAACACACACGGGACGGGATGGGGGTGGGAGGGACCCTTGTTCCAACTTGAAGGTTTCTCACAGTAATCTCTTCTCTTTCTCCTACATGTTTTTTTCCAAAGACTTTCCTGCTTGAACCCATCAACTTGTTATTACCTTCTCTGAAGAATAGGTTTTGGTCAGCAACTCTTTAAAAAAGATATCTCTTTATACTAATTACAGTGGAAGAGGTAAAAAAAAAAATAGGTGACTATTGAAATGTAGAGTGTTTTAAACCATGTAGCTATTAACTTTATATTTGGGCAGTGTGTGAAAAGGAGGTGTGGAACTCCTTAGTGGGATTGAAAACTTTATTGTGTTTTAAATAAAAGACTAACTTAAAAGAAAAAGACGTGAATTGGCTTAGAGTAAAAAAGATAATTCACTAATGAAAGGAGAGGGAAGACTATATTTTGTAGCTAAGCCAAATTTATGGCCTTGTGCATTAGCTTTTTACACACTAAAAACCTACTTCCCAGTGGGTTTAAAGCTTAATATCTTCCTCTTGAATAGGTGACAGCAACCCTTGGTGTGTCTCTCTTTCTCTCTCACACACACACACATTCACACACTGGGTGTTTCCAATTATCTCAGAAGTGATAAAATAATCTCTAATTTTGATTCAAAATAAATATGCACATGTATTCACTTAATTTTTTTATAGAAAAAGGGTGATGGTGCAAAATAGCAAAAATTGTAAACAAAGTTAATCTTCATCTAAACCTTAAGCTGACAATTTCAAACACCTTGCGTGTAATGCAGAAAAAAACCTGTCCGTTTGACTTCACTTTCATTCACACTGCTCCCTACGCATGAGAAAGACCAGATGTCTGGTTTCCAGAGTATTAGGCTTTTTCCTTAGTACTTAAATTTTATTTTTTTCAACTTTAAAGAAAAACTGCAGCTCCTTCTGATCTTTACATTTTATAGTTTAACAATTTCATATAAGCAGAAGTGTTTCAGCAGAAAATGAGCTTTAAATATTTATGCATTTTCAACAGTCCACGAACAGCTTTGGGAAAAAATTATTTGACTTTCATTTTGAAAACTCCATTTTTCTTAAAAAAAGAACCCCATAAATTCATAGTTTTCATGGAGAATAGTGGTGTAGTACAATGGAGCATATGGAAAGAACACTGAATTTGGAGGGAAAGGTATGAGTAGATGACATTTCCTTTTCCTTGTCTGATTCCTACTAATTGTAGAACAAATATACATTATATATGGTGTTCCTCCCTTCTTAACAGAAACAATATTTGGAAATTCCTGTATAAAGCTAATTTGCCATGAGGAATATAAAACCCATTAATGGGCTATCCAGGTCCCTATGGGAATTTTTTTTTTTTTAAACAGACACCATGTGGTGCAATCTGTTATAGTTTACAAGGTGGGGGTGGGGAGAGGAGCTCTGCAGGGGCCAGGAATAAAGTCATCTCTGGGAGTTTCTGAGGTACTAACAAAAATGGGAAACAGGGTACAGCAGAGGTCTCGGAAATGCCTTCCCTTCTGCCCTCAATCGTAACCCAGGGTGTACTGCATTTATGCTTTTCAAAAATTATTTTGCAAGTTATTCAATTTGGGGGAGAAAAAACCTGAACCTTTTCTGAGATGGTTAGATTGCCATTTGTTTTGTATTTTAATCTAACCTAGTGGTGATTTAATTTACAGATCTCAAAGGAAGTGTACGCTCAAATATTTGAGGATGTTAACGTATCAACCACTGTGTAATTTTGGAATATGCCTACTCGCTTGACACAATATTTTACCATCTAACAAATGTTTAGCCTTTTTTTCACTTGACTAAAGAGAAATAAGTTTCACATTGCTTCATTCACCTTCTTATGTGCATATGCTGGGAAAGATTGGATGTTAAAAAAAAAAAAAAAACTTCCTCATGTTCCTTTCTACTACATCTAAATCTGTTTACCAATTCAAAGCTGCTAAAAAAACCTGCATTCTCCTGCTAAATCAACTGGATGGCTAGAAACCAAACTGTAATGTAACAGAAAAAAATTATCAATTTATTTTCATGACAGAACATTCTTGAGAAGGTATAAAATTGTTCTGGTTGCTATGCCAGTTTTCTTTTTTTCTTCCTTCCTCTGTCTTCTTTTTTCAAAGGCTTTCAGCTTTTAAGCCGATACTTTTTATAGTTATATAACAGTTCTAATATTTTGTGACATTTTGTATTGTGACACTATAGATGAAATTGTCATCGGACTGACACCCTGTGCTGTTTATTCCTTAATTACAACTGTTAACACTGTAGAGAAGTGTGCTAATTTGCCAGCACATATTATGAAAACAACATTATTGTTACCCACACCGACACCCACTCAACAGGATATTTCCAAGATGGTAGTTTAAAGGAACTTATCTGCACAATGGACGTTTCAATGTAGTTGTTGTTGCTGTGTATTTAACTTTTCCTATTGTCTTCTTTTAAAAACATACACCAATTTGCAATTGAAAACATGTCACTGTCATATAGCATAGTCTAAAGCAGAGGCTGCCTCTATAGTTAGAAAGTTATAATTTTTTTTTTTTTTTTTAGTGCTCAAGCAGTGTTGGACTGAGTTATCTCAAAGTTGTTTAGGGTTGTGACCCAAAGCTTTCTGACTGAAGTTTTTTTTCCAGGAATAATGAAACTAGAAGAGAGGGGAAGGGGAAGTTTAAAGATGAAAAGACAAGAGGGGGACTGTTTGCATTCACAATGTTGGCAATCCTTACATAACCAAGTCAAAAATCCAATAAGCATTCCTACCTCTAAAATGTATCCTTTCTCAAAACCATGTCTGAGCCTTTCTCAAACTGGCTACTTACTGACTTGCTTTATAGTTCAGTTCTTTCTGTCTCCAGAACTTTTAGAGGTTTGGTTATCTATGAGGCACAAAATCCTATGAGTTTATTTTCTCATAAGCTATTTTACTAAAGCAGTTTAGGTGTCATTGTCTTTTCCATTTGTTAAAAGAAACAATAATAGTAAAAAAAAATCACGTTGATCCTATACCTTGTCCCCAAAATGAAATAACTAAAAAGTAAGGATTCTAAAAAGCTTAAAACCAGAACCAAGGTACTTGCTTAGAGGAGAAACGCTGGAAATTATTTTTTTAAACCACACACACACACAACACTGACAATAATTAATAAAGAGTCCACTTTTTAATATTAGTGTTTAACACATCTATCGGTTTGGTAGAAAGCAAATTTGGGACCTTGAAATAGTAATAGGTGATAACATGAGGCTTGCCAGTAAATTCTTGTATCTTCACTGTCACTCACAAGATAATGGAGAATATGAACATATTTAATTCCTAAAGTTCCTGCAATTACCTACATACTCCTTAACACCCAGCTTTATTAAACAGGCTTTTCCAAATACCATGGGAAGAAGTTATCGCTATGCCTCATTTTGAATGGTATTTTCTGCTTCATTTTGATTTTCAGCAGCAAAAGGATATGGTGCTTTTCCTAAAAGAAACCGTTCCCATTTGGGAATATATTCTTCTACTGATGCCCAGTAACGAGTCTGGAAAAAAAAATCCAAAAGTAAAAAAGCAAATCAAGCAATTGAACTTGGCTCTTCATAATAGTCTAAATGTTTATTCACTTAAGTGTGTGTGTGCGTGTATACACACACACACACACACACACATATACGTAGAATGCATTTCCTCTACAGAATATTTTATGTTAATTTTAGAAAAAAATCTGGCTACTTACTAGTGTTAATTTTCAAATTTCTCAGTAAAACCAGAGCCTGGCAGAATTACAGGTTTTAGAATTTTATTGTGATTTTACACGCCCTCTTGTGGCCAACTTCATGATTATTGCCAATAATATCATTTACAGTAATATGATCATTAAATATTTTTGTTTAATATTCCAAATCCCATACCAAATGATTACCCCACACTGAAATTATCACAATGAAATTATTAAACATAAATCATGCTTCAGAATTAACATCAAAAGATTTGACCTGAGATGAGATCAGGAACTGAAATGTAACTAGTATGTTATATATAGGAATCAGATACATTAGCCCCTAAATTGTGTAGGAAACATATATACACCATAATTTTTCCCCATTTTTATGATGATAAAATGTCAATATAATTTAACCATTTTTAGTACAAAAAGCTTGGAAGTTGAGATGCTGTATTATTGGTCTGAGTGTAGAAGGCTTTAGAAGCTCAATACAACATTGCTGTGTTGTGTCTAGCTTTGGTTTCTTGGGTGACTGCCCTAAGGAGGTCAAAGAGAACTAAACAGCCCAAAGCTCTGTGTCATAGGAGCGTAAATGATATTAGATCATTACTATCAATGTCATTTTTGGAAATTCAGCCAATGAGTTAGCACTAGAAACACAGAAATATTCATTCCAAGCATTAAATAGAGCAGTTCTGAAAGTCGAAAATGGTGAGGGATTCTCTATGTCTGTTTATCTACGGAGTACATACTTAAAATAAAGGTCAACCTGCTGTGCAAGACTAGTTAAGAAAAATACCCTCTAAGGCCCATGATGGGGAGTTTCCCTGACATTTGCAGCTGGAGTAACTCCAATTGTGTGGGTCCTGTATATGCCAGAGTAAGGTACTGGAGAATCGAACAAAGAAAAAGATATGTCCAAGGCACAACTTTGTACCAGAGTTTTTCATATCTTTGATCGCTGCCTTGTTTTTTTACCCTAGATGACACAGAAAATTGAGGGGAAAATTCTCAGCCTTTAATTTTAAGTCCACTCATCTCCATTGGGCAGAAAGCAAAAGTGTAAAGGTCATTAGAAATACAAAATGAAACTATTCTATATGTAGTAAATTCCCATTCATCACAAACGTATTCATATACCAAATATAGTTTATTTTTTGCTAACCATCTTCCCAATCTGTTCTTGAACTGAACGAAATAAAACAGACAAAAGCCATACTATAGTATATGATAACATGCATTTAATTAGCTCTGGTCAAATTCTAAATTCTAACATCAGCAAGCAGCAAAAGCATTTGGGTTAGGCATATTGTCGTCTTATGATTTAGCGCATATTGTCTGTTAAGGTTTAACGGAATAATTGTTTCTAAATGACAAGGTGAAAAGATCCCTATCTTTATGAAATTTGCAATTGCTAAACTTTTTAAAATCAAGATACTTCTCAGTTATCTACTATATATAAAGCACAGTACTGTGGATATAAAAAGATTCAGCAGGCATATTTTCCTTAATTTACTGAATAAATATATCTGGAAAATACATATAACCATTGTTTGACTTACAGTGCACTACTGATAGATAGGGTCTCTCTTTTTACATTTGTTCCCTAAGATGCTCACCTCAAGAGAAACCACCTCAGGCCGCGGAATTGGGTGCATCCTGGTCTGTAGTGACTTTTCTGCTGCTTCTATATCCTGTAACAGACACCAGCATTTTATATTAGAGTGTATTTACATAAAACAAATGGCACCTGTACTAGCAATATCTGTATCCCAAATCTCTCACCTCAACTCTTCTCTGGATATAGCTTAAATAGATGAAGGCATACCACGGCAGGAGAACTGATCATTGTTCAACTCATCCATTTCAGATGAAGAATACAGCATTTCTTATTTTGAAATAGAGGTCGGGGAGAGAGTACTTCTAGGTTCTGCCTTTTCACTTTTGAATAGCTAGTAAATGTCAGTAATTCATACAAAAAGAGCTTCTTATAATACTGCTCATCAGAGCATTAATTTAGCTCTAACATCACCAAAAAATAGCCAGAAGGATAAAATAATAAAACGTTCAGATACAAAAACAGTCAGATACTCAAGGCCTACCGTATGCTAATCTTAAAAGTGAAGAGTTCTAGTCTCTTCAGATGACGTAAATAGCATATCAATGGCACACATTTCATTTGTTTCAATATTCAATTTTAAAATTTATATGTATGCAAGTATTCCATATATTTAATGGAAGCTCAATTATGTACCTCAGTACTTAGTGACAAGAGCCTTTTCATTATACTATCTAGATTTTTTTTTAGGACTAGATTTCTAAGCTAATTTCAATGGCAAGTTTTATTGCTAGCTAGTATGTCATTCAGCTGATAGCATTCAAGACCCAAGGTTTAATGCATAGTTTAACTTGTAGATATGTATATTTTCTCTTATAGCTATAAAAACACCAAGGTAACTAAACTGAATTCATACCTTGGTAAAGATTCTTATCTTGATACATGCATGAAGTGAATGCTCAGAAATGCAGGACTCTGCAAATTTTTAGTGAAACATTTGAGCACTGTTTAATAAACACTCCCAAAATCAGCACCTATGTTGTCTTGTGCCTACTTATGTCTGTCAAGTTCACAGTGGCCTTGGTCAAAGGCCATGTAAATTTTGTCTCTCTTTTGAGCTTAGTGAGTTGATAGAAAAGAGAAAGTTCTCTGATTCCAGTACAAGCATTGGAGCAATCTAAGTAGAGGGCTGTTGGACAGACGGAGAGAGATGGAAAAGGGCGTGGGAGTGGGGTGTGAAGAAGCCAATGCTGAACAGGAGAAAAGAGATAGCAGATGGTAGCGGCGGGAGCAAGGAATGGGTGTGAAATGTAAAAGGGAAAAACAGGAAATTCCCTAAAGGGACTCCCCAAAGTTGCACAACCATTAGTGCACCTGCTGTCTAGAGGAAGGTGATTTGAAGGAAAAAAGCCATCAATTTAGAGATAAAAGCTGATTTTCAGCATGTCTATCCCATACCAGAAGTTTATAGCTAAGAAACATGCTACAGAGCTTTTGATGCTGATGCTATGATAGATACTGAAGCCTAATAATGTTTCTGTGATTACATTGAGATTTTATGAGGTCCTGGAAAAAAATGTTTTTTACCTTTATAAATCAAATACACACAAATAAAATAATCACAGGTCCAATTACAGTCATTATTCTAAGAACAGTTATAAGATTATTGTTAGTTGTAGATCTTGGTGCCACTAGCATTATAGACAATATTATAAACATTTTTCTTAAGATCAGAAAATAAGGATACTTAATATCTCTCTTATAGGAGAGCAGATTTGTAAAAGGAAAAGCAGATACAAGTAGGAGAGATGTGGCCTGGTAAAGCAGGCCTATTGTTAGACACTTGACTGTTACCTCTGCAGCATTCTAACTACAAATTATCAGCCCTCTGAAACACTTCCTTCTTAGCTTAAGAGATACTTGCTTTCTTAGATAATATGCTTACCTCTGATTCCTACTCTTCCTTCTCTTTAGCTGGCTTATTTTTCTCTCCTTGTTTCTAAGTGTGAGCTTTCTTAAGATCTGCGGCAGCTGTTCTTATATTTTTACCTTATCTCTCTCAAGACTGTGTCCTATCTAGCTTCAACTAACTTTTACTGTAGAGGCATGGCTAACCTTTCTTCCTAGACTTTATTTCTCAACCAAATGAAACTGAGCTCATCTTACTCCTACTGCATATAATAAACAATAGTGGGAATTCTCCTCACTCAGATACCTGCACTCCTCTATCTTTATCTCTTCTTATACCTGCCATTTAAATTTTCAAAGGTCTATAAATTGTTCTTTCAGGATATCTCTCCTATCCTTTCCATTTCATTCCCAATGCTATGGGTTATTATTACACTTATTCATTCAACAAATACTTGAGAAGTACTTACTCTATGAGGCATGACTACAGTATGTCTTGTTTTACTTCCATCCATACCTAAGAGGGGATCAATTCATTTTTCTAAAGAACTTTGATCAATGTCTTTCCTTAGACTTAAAAAATCATCAGTACCCACTACATAGAGGATGAAGTGTGAATTCCTTAGCCTGACTGAAAAAAAGAAAAAAATTTGCAATTTGATCCTAGCCTTCTGTAGCAAGTTATACCCTAATACTTCCATATAAGAACCTTCCCTTTCGTTATATACTACCAGAAGGTAAGGACTGTGTCCCATACAACCTTTATGCATCTGAGTATCTAACAAAGTGCAGGACATGTACTAGGCATTACATATTCATTAAATGAATAAATAAGATGTCAGAGTTTCCTAATCATAAACCAAAACTTTTTTAAAAAGGGTACCCAAAGTAGACAGAGGGAAAAGGAAAAAGAGGGTGAAACAGGAGGCGAGACTTACTTGACTATACATTGTTTCTTTGTCTTACAGACTTGCCACTAGAACATTTAAAATTTTATACAGTTATGGGACAAATAAAAAAGCAATTCCCCCCAAATGGGAAACCAAATGTGACAAATCTAATTATTATGTAGTTGGTGGTAAAACCACACAGAAAAGAGCTACATCAAGTATTCTTCGAACACAATATTGACTGGACACCCCTAGTGGGGTATACACTGGGGACAAAAAGAAATTGTCAATGTTATCTTATTGAAAACCACTGTCAGTAATCATATTATTGGTGACAGCCATGTCTGTATCATAGGATAATTCTTTGGAAACAGATTTTCGGTTTTAGAAAAAGAAGGTAGAGGCATAAGATCAGTGATTTTAAGTTAAATCTACAATCGTGTAATTGAATTGGAGATACTGATATAAGTTCTTGATATATTTTATCTTTAAAAAAACCCAAAGACCAAAAACCAAGCTACAATAAACATTCCTAGTGCCCAGATTGAGGGCTCTAAATATATTTTCTGCCAAAAGGAACCAGGGCTTCTTGGAGCAATGGCCAATTCCAGGTGTGGGCAGCAAAGGGACACAATGAGCCTGAAATAACTCATCACATCATAAAGAAAGGGAATTATCAGAGACTGTTAGGATCATGTCAAAGATATTCAGGAGTTAACTTGCAAAGGCTTCCACATCGTTAAAAATGGGACACATTGGGCATAAATCAGAATAAAAACTGCAAGACAACGAAACATTTCAAATCCCAGATAAATTAAAAACAAAATACCACCTCATTCGTCACCATTAGAAGATGCCAGAGAACAAAACTATGATTTTGAAAGCTATAGAGAAAGTGTCCAGCAGTCATCACACCATTTCCTACATAAACTGTACTTCAGTGTAACCAAATAAGTGATGAGGGGAAGACGCTCTTCATCTAAACAGTTAGTCTTGAAAGAGAAGGAATAAAAGAATTTGAATATTCTTTTTGTAATCTCTAATGAATATATCTAGGCAATGATCATCAATGACTACCAACATTCCAAAATGAGAGACAGCCAGGAAGTGTTCTTCCCCCAAACAATGAACCTGAATCTGATCCAGCTTCTAGAACATCACTGCTCATATGATAGTCATTAGCCTCATGTGGCTACTGAACACTTGAAATGTGGCAAGTCCAAATTAAGATGTGCTGTAAGTGCCAAACATATACTGAATTTGGAAGGCTTAGTAAGAAAAAAGAATATAGAATATTTAATTACAATTTTTTGGTAGAAACATCTGAAATATTTTGCGTATGCCTCATTCCATAAATGTTATTAAAATTAAGTTCATCTGTTTCTTTTGACTTTGTTAAAAGTGGTTACTAGAAAACTTTAATGACGTGTGCTCACATTATATTTCTGTTGGACAGCACAGCTCTAGATCAATTTATAGGAATTACAGAGAATACAGGAACATGAAAAATGATACCTCAGAGACGTAATTAGCAATATCCAAACTGGAAAATGCATAGGACAAATGACTTAATTTCTTTAATACATAAATTAAGAGTGGATGAAAAGGTCAGGGGTACTTTTAAAGACTCTATCAATCCATTCCAATGTTAGATTTTATTTGGATTTTGATCCAAACAAATGTAAACATGCCTACAGATTTATCAGAGAAATGTGAACTCTGACTGAATATTTGAGGAATTACTGGTAATTTCTTATTGATAACAGTATTGTGATTTTGCTTAAAATAGTAAAATAATCCTTATCATTTAGTGATATACACTGATAAAAATACAAATATATACAGAAATAGCTATAGGTAAAACAATGTATTTCTGCAGAATACCTTCAAAATAATCTGAATGGTGGAGAAGGGGATGAGATATACAGATGAAGCAAGATTGACCATGTTTTGATAGTTATTGAATCTGGGTAATAAGCACATGTAAGTACATTCTTCCAGTTCTTCTTCTATATAGGCCTGAAACTCTTCATAACTAAAAAACAAGTTTCCAGTGTGGATGATGGAATAAATGTTACTCTATGGCAGAAGTGAGAAGACTATATTTAAATGTGTCAATTCATGATTAGGAAAGGTAAAACATGAGCAGAGAAAGTCAAGTGCTTAGGTCTCTTTCTCTCTCTACCCCTATACACGCCACTTCTCCAAAACCAGAAATCTAATACCTCATTATAAATATACACAGTGAACCCAGCTATGGCCAGGCTGGTTCTAATCTTTTTATCTGCTGGAGGGACAGTTTCTAGGATAGGAAAAATAAGATACTAAAGAACGAGATACAGGGTCATTGGTACAAGAACATGTAAGCATTTATTAAATGTATTCTTCAAGGAATTAGAGGTGTGAAATGTAAGAAGGAAAGAGGAGAGATGGGGTCCTGAAAGTCACCAGCCATCCTGGGTGGCAGTTTGTTGAAGTCCCTGTTTAACTTCCAAGTGCCCCATGAAGTCTTGCGGAGCGTTCTTCGGTGGAAGCACTCACCGTATCTCTAACTAGCTGTTGCACTTTCTCATTCTTTCTCACCCCAGAGTGTTTGTCCAGCTTACTCACAAGATGATGTTTACTTACAAAATTGCCTTCCTAGATAAAACTAAATTTTATGGTATGTATGTGGAGAGAGATGTCAGCTTACATTGTGGCAGTATTTATAGAAACTCAATTCTCTCTTTCTCTTCCAAATCTATACCAATTCTGTTTATGTTCTTAAAAGGCAGAAAAGTCATTTTACTAATACTAATGGAAAAATCACCCATCTTGTGTTTTCAAAGTTCACTATCTTTTATGATAGTTAGTGACTGAAGCCTATTCTTCACTATCTACATTCATATCTATTCATTTGCTAATATGTTCAAATATTTGATGGAATTGGTCTCTTCCTCACTGCTCCTTTTTAAAATATATTCTTTGATATTTTATATTGCTGTTATTTTTCCAAAGGAATTTACAGAAATTTTATTGAGTTCAAGGCAAATTCCACTGGAACTTTTTTGAATCTAAAAATAATTTTGTGACAGCTGTTTTTTAATTTTATTTTTAACTTTTACAAAGACTCAATTCAGAGGCTTTGTGTAACAGCTGACTTTAAGAAAACCGTAGTCTCCTGGCCAGGCACGGTGGATCATACCTGTAATCCCAGCACTTTGGGATGCTGAGGTGGGTGGATCGTGAGGTCAGGAATTCAAGACCAGCCTGGCCAAGATGGTGAAACCCTATCTCTTCTAAAAATATAAAAATTAGCCAGGTGTGGTGGCAGGTGCCTGTAATTCCAGATACTCGAGAGGGTGAGGCAGATAATGGCTTGAACCCGGGAGGGAGAGGTTGCAGTGAGTGAGATCACGACAGAAAGAGATTCCATCTCAAAAAAACAAACAAACAAAACAAAACCACACAGAAAGACAACAATGATAGTTTCCCTAGTCAGGATTAAGGCATATGTTTCCTTGTAAGTTTTCTTTTAAATCTTCTATTTTAGTGTAATAATTGTCTTTACACCTATCATGCAAACCCCTTGTTAAGATCATTCCCAAGTATTTTAGAATTTTGTTGCTAATGTGAATGTGATTTCTTTTTTTTTTGGAGATGGAGCTTTGCTCTTGTTACCCAGGCTGGAGTGCAATGGCGCGATCTCGGCTCACCGCAACCTCTGCCTCCTGGGTTCAAGCAATTCTCCTGCCTCAGCCTCCCGAGTAGCTGGGACTACAGGCGTTTGCCACCATGCCCAGCTAATTTTTGTATTTTTAGTAGAGACAGAGTTTCACCTTGTTGACCAGGATGGTCTCGATATCTTGACCTCATGGTCAACCCGCCTTGGCCTCCCAATGTAATTTCTTATATTTTCCAGTTGTATACATAAATACTATTGACTTCTGTACCTTTTATCCATCAATTTTACTTAACTCATAATATACTGTACTACTTTTAGAATAATTTAGAATAAATTTGGTTAAAGTATATAACCATATCATTTCAAAATCCTAGTGTTACACTTTCTTTTTCAAAAGTAAAAGCTCATTCCTTTTTCAGTGTTTATTACATTGGTCAGAAGATCTAAATAAGGTCAAACAATGGATGTTAATAGAGGTCATCCATATTTTATACTCTCATTATAGAAATGCTTTCACATTTATTGGAAACATTTTAAAGCATAGGCTGTACTTCTGAAGTATCTATCCTAGATATAACTTAACTTGTCCTGAACAAGTAGTAACAGGAGTAATTGCCCTATGGCTTCCTCATCTCTAAATCAAGGAATTAGCCCAGAACAGTGGTTTCTACAGTTCCTTAAAGCCACAGCTGGGCAGTCAAGAAAAAACTGAACAGGTGAGGCTTTGGCCCAAAGCAAGTCCATTTCTATCTATTTTAACATCTTCGAAAGAAGTTTTAAGCTAAAAAAAAAATTTAGATGAGAATTGAATCTAATATACATACTTTTTAAAAGTGTCTTCCAACTCAAAATTCTGCAATCAAGTCTTATTTATTTATTTATTTATTTATCCTGCAGATACAGTCCCACACTGTCACTCAGGCTGCGATACATTGGCTACAGTGCATGATCACAGCTCACTGTAACCTCGAACTCTTGGGCTCAAGGGATCCTCCTGCCACAGCCTTCCAAGCAGCTGGGACTACAGGCATGCACCACCATGTCCAGCTAATGTTTACCTTTTTCTCAGAGACAGGGTCTTGCTGTGTTGCTCAGGCTAGTCCTGAACTCCTGGGCTCAAGCGATCCTCCTGCCTTGGCCTCTCCAAGTGTAATCCAAACATTACAAGCATGAGCCACTGTGTCTGGCTAAATCTCATTTATTTTACTTTCACAGTGACTTCTATGGTAGAGCCACTGAAAGTCTTTCCAAAGTTTAAAAACATATGAGGGAAAGTAAGATTGTAAAAACAATGACTCAAAGAATGCAAAAAAAAAGAAAGAAGAGACAGCATCTCTAGCAACAAGCACTGTGTTTGTGATATAATAGGGGCTCAATAAATGTTTATTAAATACTGAAAGAAAATATACAAAAATGTATTCAATTTTAGATCAGTGGGATGATATGGAAGGTAGGCTATTTCATCTTCTTTCTTTAAATTTTGTTTTATTTTTCACAGTGGGAATACATTACTTTGATAATCAGGGAGAAATACCATACCAAATTGAAGTTTTTCATAACTATGAAGCCAGGTTCATTATCTTCCTTATATACGTATGACTATGATTTCTTAGCTACCCTCCTGAACTCTGTTTTCTCCATTTTTTTAGGTATTTAAGAAAGATTCATTTGTATCTAAATAGCAAATGACTCTTTCTTAAATACCCACTCATTTATTTCTTATATAATTCTGTATTTTTCTTTTGCTTAGTCATTTTCAGTGCTGAATTATGTCTATATGTCAAGTCTCAACTTTTTTGGTCCCATAACACATATCCAACCTTGTTCCCTGTGAAATTCCAAGCAAGTTGTCATACTCCCAGGATCATTAACAGGGTCATTCAGTCTTCTGCTTTTGGCTCTTTTGTAAGAATCCAACAGTATGCCTAGCCTTCTGCCTATTGAAACACAGGCTAAGCTTAGCTTCTTCTCTGATACCTTTTTGAATATTCTAGCTCTTAAAGATTTTTTTACTATTATTTCTGTAGTCCTGACTCTATTCCATGTAATTTAACGTTTGATCACACAAAGTCTTTCTGTTCTTGATATCAAGAACTCTGATTTATACTTATTTTGTTGTCCCCACTTTCTGCCCAGAACTAGCTCAGTAGTAAGGACCGGCTAAGCATTCATCAAATACTTGCTCATTAAAAGCAAAACCAAGTATCACATCACGTGCTGCAGGTAGGTAGCAATTAAGCCTTCTAATTTAGTTTTTCTAACTTTTCAGAGCAAATTCCAGATTATCCTATATATTTCCATTTAAAAATAAATATTGCTAACACCATTGGGCAAGTAAGACATATGGCAATATAGAATGCTTTGGTAGCACTATGGCTGTGACTTAAATTACTGTGGATCAAACTGCCAGAAGCTGAGAAGATAACTGAATTTTCCTCTTCCTTTATCCTCTAGTGAGGACAGAAGATAACTATATCATGCCTATCGATGAAAATATTTAACAATAAAAAACTGAAAACACTGCTTTATAACTTAAATAATATAGTCTTACTACCAAATGTTTTAGTCATAGGATCTCTTGGAAGCTTGAATGGAAGCAAACTTTAGGGTTTTAATTATGGATGAAGCCATACAATTCTGGAAGCAAAGTATAGCAAGCAGCCAAAAATGTTACACATATGATTCTACTCCAAATGGGCACATTGGCCAAATGGTGAGGCCCTGCACAATCATACACTTTGACCACTCCTCCATATCCATCAAGAGGGAGGTGGGAAATCTGTTATCATAGATATGAATTTCATGTGTCTGCCTAGTCAGGCAAAATCAAATTGTTCTTGTTTATATGATGTTTGATAGTTCTGACTTGGCTTTCAATATGTTATAGGTATTTTATGGCCTTTCAGGATTTCCTTTCAAATAAAAGAAGATGAAAGATGGAAAAGATACATCTTCTATTTCTTAGTTTTTGCAAAAGGGAGACCTTCTGTAGTCATTAATTTTTCCAGTTGATTGAAAACATTTAGCTAAAGCAAAGTTCAATTTTTTTTAATTAAAAAAATGAGGATACATATGCTACTTATCTAACTGACATGGGTTTTTTTAAAAAAAAGATGCTGTTTTAGTAATTCTACTTATTACTCAGAACCAATAAATTATATAAATATTATAAAATTTACCTAAAAGATTTTTGACAAAGTGGGATAAATCTCTATATTCAAGTCATGGAAACTTACCTTTAAAAGACTAAGATTCCTTTTAAAAGCTGTCTCAACTATTTGGAGCTGAGATGCCTTTTCTGTGTGTTGATTGCCCAATTTATTCTCCATTTGTTGAAGTAACATTAATCTTTGTGATACTCTAGAAAAAGAAATGAAGATTACATGGAGTTAAAAAATAAAAGCAAACATTTTACTGCTGGAGCAATATAAAAAGTTCATTTCTTAATGGCACCTCACTTCAAATCTAACCTAATTTGAAAGTCAATTACTATGTCAACTAATAAGACAGTGAAAAATCTGAGGTAGTTCAATAAGTCTTAAGTCAATCTGGCTAAAATTATTTTTATTTTCATTAACATATTCTTTATATATGCCATAAGTACATGCTTCTGTTTTTTTAGCCTCTCTGGTCTTTTGAAATTATTTTAGAATGTTGAAGATATGTTTTAATTTTTGGTGAAAATGCAAACTGTAATACATATCCTTTTGTACACATAGTTATATATACCTCCCGACACACATACATTGATATAACTTGCTATATGAAACCTTCTGCTTAACACTTCAGTACCCCTGAATCTCATGTTACACATTTAGAATTGTGCTAAACTTCCATATGTTTGAAGAAGCAATAAAAATATTTTTTCCCTCTTTTTCCAAGAGAAAGATGATGGTTTGATATATGAGTGAGAGGCTGTGTGTATATATGCATACTCACAACAAGGTAAAACAGTAATTGAAGAAAGATGTAAAAAAATTACAAGTAAATATCTTCAAACTACTTTGTTATATATAATATACTTTGAAAGTTTCTTGCAGGTCAAATTTTTATTTCATACATTTTGGTTCTTTTTAAATGATTAATAAGACAATATGTAAGGTGATTAAAAATATATAAGTTGGTATATATAACAGTCAAACTGTTTCCAAAATAGTTGTGGAGGTTCTCAAAAAACACTATGTTTCACCAGGCTGTCTTAAAGGTAGAACTAAAATCCCAGGTCTGTGAATAGTCAGTTTTTTGGTAAGGAAAGTATCTTAGGAGATAAGAAAAGAAGGTCTGGTAATTAATTAAACGAAAACCTGAGAGCTCACAGACACAGGAGGAAAAGAGTGAATAATATCAAATGAAGAGCAGGACTGGCTATACAATTTGCAGGGTCCAGTCCAAAATGATTCAAGACAATGTCATGAAAGCATTAAACCAAATGCAGGACCTGTGACTGTATATAAGTCATAATACCAACGAAGCCAGCCCTGGGTAAGAGGTTTAGAGAAGTCCATTAAATACCAATATGGAGACTAGAAAGGGTGGAAGGAGAAGCAGATTTATCTAGATATTAGTTACAAAGAGAAAAATACATAGAACATACCTTTTAATCTTGCTTATTCATAAGAGACAATGAAATTCCCTAACACTAAAACCTCTTCAGTGTCAGAAAATTAAAATGACATGCTTTCAAACTTTTAAGTCATCTGTGTATACAATATTTCACTAACAAGGCCAGTCCAATTTCTATATCCAAATCATCCTTTTAAAAAACTTACATTTCTTCATGTCTTTTAGAAAGGCGAATTTCTTGAGCAAACAAGGAAGTCATCCTTAATCAAAGCTGTTATAAAGAATAAAAACATTTAAAGTTACTTCTACCACGTCTTCAGCTTTGCAACATTTGATTGTATTAGTACCTTAATCCATTGGTTCTCTCAGAAGAGATAATAAAACTTAAGATGTAATAATGCATAGAATGAAAGAATGGAATTAAACACATTTTTATTCAGCATGCAGTTTTCCATATGCCAGCTACATCTAAGAACACCACGAATTAGGTAAATTCAACATATTTTATATTGTCTCTTCTTTCTTTCTAGACTGTAACCTTAATCAGAATTAAAAACAAACAAGCAGCTGGCACTAAGACTAGTAAATGTTTTATTGCATCAACAGAAAAAAATCCACCCTGTTAAATTCAACACAGGAACACCATCCCTTATGCATGTGCAAACACATAGACAGAAAGGCAGGCAAGCAAGTATGAGAACCAACTGGAAATTCAAGGTCTTTCCTTTATTGGAAGAGTGCCCAGTTCTACCATCTCTCTTCTAAATGAGAAAGTACTTCTCATGTGTAACTGTGAGGAAAAGCACAACTAGATACCTTCCCTTTACCCTGGCTGCTCAGCACTCTTTATTTGTGGAGTGCAGGAAAGCCCATTTTCATGGTACATTTAACACCACAAGCAAGCTCACCTTGGCTAACTGGACGGATACAGACAGAGGTCTAGTGAAACGCGCTGAAGGCCTCCAACCCGCAGGCAAATCATCTGGTTGGGCTTAAAGGCTGAAGGTACTTGCCCTAAGGGAGAAAAAGAGGAATAAAATTCCTTCCTGAAACGAAGCTTTCCTAAAGTTTATGAACTTAAACATCTATGCACTTTATAATGATTGTTTAAAGATTGACACACCGCCTAAGTATCCAGCGCTGCTAGAAAGCCCATGCCTATTGAGTGTAGGACGCTGAGCCCGGCCAAGGAAAACGGAAACACAGCCCTGCCCTCATCAGGTTTTCTCCTCTAGGAGTGGCAGCCTTTCCTTCAGCACCGCGGACAGCAATCGCTCACAGGCCCGCCCTCCAGGGTCTAATTACAGATACTTTCCGCTAACATCACCGCAGGCCAATCCTCGTCGCCTTCCTCTCGGTTTCCTTTTTGCAACGAGGCTGCAGCGCCAAGGGAATTCCGGAAAGTCGGTTCATGGTAACTTTTCTGTGAGGCCCGCCATCAGCATTTTAGACAAAACCCAAGTCAAATTCTCCCCTTGGAACCGAAGATCCACACCTTAGAGTCATCTGCCCTCCAGCCGCCCCAACTCCCGCTTATACCCGAAGGACTCAGGAACCTTCCTCATCAGCCTGGCTCTTTACGTTAACAACATCCTCCCCAGCGGCCCTGCAGTCCCCTGCGCGGCCGTCGGGCAGTCAGGGCACCCATCCGCGGTCAGACTCCACTCACCGAGCCCGCCTCTGAGCCCTTCCGGGAAGGCACCAGCTACTGCGCCGACGCCGGGGCCTGAGCGCAGGCCTGGGCGTGGTCACGCTACCATATTGGCGCACGCGCGGCGCGCGGTGACGTCACCGCATCTTTATAAAGAGCCGCCAAAAGTTTCCTAACGTGTAAGCACGAAAGTTTCCTGAAGTGTGGCTGCGGCAACCAGAAGGTGGGCTTGTGGTACGCGGCGGGCGGGACGTTGGCTTGAAAAGGCCTTTATGACGCCAGGGAAAGGCCGTCTGGTAGTAGCTCAATTTCGAGACCTTTTAAAGTTTAAACCTTTATAAAGGTTATTCTGCTGGTAAACGTTTCAGAGAGTGAAGCTGGTTTCTTTAAAGCTGGAATGTCCCAGCAGAATGTAGAAGTGCGAAAAATTCGACAAAGTAGTCCAAAGTTAGTGGAATTTACAGTCAGTCGGTTTATTCAGTGAATGCCTATGGAGCAGGTGCTTTGTCCTGGGCGTCTCATACTGAGCAGAGCAGCAAGAAGTCCCTGCACGTTCATAGTTCGTGACAGTAATGTTGACAGTAATATTGCTCAATCACGTCTTGAGGGGTTTCTCAGTGTCAGTCGCCATATTTGCGTGGGTTATCTGATTAAGTCCCTGCAACGCCCTGTAAAATGGCTTCATTTGACAGCCAAGGAGACAAGCCTGACTTTGTAGTATCGGTGCTGTAAAGTGCATTTCTTAGACATTTTTATTCCTTGAAATAACTGAAGTACGCGGTAATGCCAGTCCTCTAGTTTACAGCGGAAGAAACAGGTTCAAGAGAGGTAGAACTGTTTTCTTTATGAAGGTTACTCTGCTGGTAAAAGACAAAGAACTAGGACTCTAACCCAAAGTGTATTTTTAATTTCTTCTCCCGGAATATCTACATAAAACTTAGCTCTTGCTTCAGGACTTCTGCACTTAATGTTTCCTTTGCTTGGAAAGCCCCTTCTTCAGACACTTACATAGATTCAGTTCCTTGTATCTTTCAATCTGCTTTCTCACAGGAGCATTCCTTCAGTCCCCAACATAAGATCCCCACCTGCTGGCTCCCTATCCTCCTGCTTTATTTTTTTCCACAACACAGTAACATCGCATATATTATGTAATCACTCGTTTATTTGTTTACCTGTGCACCCACCACTAGAATTTGAACATTGTAAGAACAGATATTTTTGTCTATGCTTTGCTGCTGTATCCTCAGCAACTGGAACTGCCTGACCTGTAGGTAATCAGTAAATATTTTTGAATGAATGAACAAAATAATTCCTCCCATTCACATTCATCATGATTTCAAAGCACTCTATCTTCACTTTATAAGAACTTTGATTATGCTGTTCCATACCCTTACCACTTAGTAAAGATGAAAAGTAGACCCTTGAGTGGTCCTGTGTTCTAGGAATGAAATAGAGCTTTTGCATCTTTACAAGAAATGCTTGTTTATTTTTTATGTACTTTTAAAATAAGGATTTTTCTTAAGTTGGTAATGGGTTGCATGAAAATAACTGCCAGCTCGTTACAGCATTTGTATGTTGCTTGACAAACTGCTGACCTCCCTGCTTTGTATAAGTTTGCATGGTAACACAGTTGGGACAAATCCAGCGCTTTCAGCTTTGAGCCCAACTTTTTTAGGTTACCATCCGCCTTAGCTGTGAACAAAATAGTACCTTGGGAGTTTTCTTGCAGTTTTTAGAACAGTAATCAGGAATATATCACAGACACTTGGAGGTTATCTAGATATATTTTGATAATTTATTTTATAGCATCCAATAAAAGTGCTTGCTTTCTATTTAAAGATCTGCAATAGCTGCCCTTCTCATGATATTGCCCACAGCTAATCCTTTCTTTGAGTCACCAAGCTGGTGAGGAAGAATCTCTGGCAACGCTGTTTCTATTAATATATAGCTTCTGTACTTATCAGATAAGTTTGGGTATTTTCTGGAGTGAGGTATTCATAGCCTGCCATGAAAATTATTGCAACCTACTAAGTAACAGCTGACCCATAATGAGACAATCTGCAAAGGTGTTGTGAATTTAATGTTTCCTATCCCCTGGACTAGTTCTATGCACCAGCATGCTATGATTATCTCCTCAGCCTCGTATAATCTTCTACAATTGCCCCGTTAGCTTCATTATTTAGAAAACATTGTATCATGTAGTCATAAATTCTATAAAGATGTATTTATTAAACATCTGTAAAATGTAATCTGCCCTTAAGAGCTTAGAATCTGGCTGGGCTTTTAAGGTATACACAAAAAGCTGGAAGATGATGGTCGAAAACATAAAGATGGTTTTTATGGAATGTTTATTCCATACCAGGCACTTTCCATGAATTACCTTATTCTCATAAAAACTCTGTGAGCAAGGGTGCCGAAGTCTTATTATCCTCATTTTTATAGCTGAGAAAATTGAGGCTTAGAGAAGTGATTTACTTATGATCACACTGCTAATAAATGAACTCCAAGCCGTTTGATGTTAGTTATTCTAAGTAATTCTGTACGTTATCTTGAGATTATATCATTAAAAATATGTCAATTATGAGAACAATAGAGAAAAAAGGAGAGAGCACTATGAACTGGAATAGCATTGACAGCATTTTGAAAGACTGAGGTGGACCTTGAAAAATGGGCTGACTGGGAAGTATGTTTTTGTGATTGGGCATATCAGGTGGCAGGAGAGTGTGGTGTGGAGTGTTCTGAGGGAAGCAGCTTGCATAGAAATGTGTGCATGAGAGTACATCTGGTGTGAGGCCTAGTGGAAAGGAAGCATTGGGAAGAATGTTTCTCCTCATTTTTCTTAATTTTGAAGATTTCATTTCTGGTGCCAAATAATTTGAAAATGGAGGTTTGATAGTAATAAAGAGACAAAATTATTGGAGGAGGTAAGACTGGTGAGTAGAGAATAGAAATGAAGACAGAAAAGGAAGGCTTGTGGATGGAAAAGGAAGGATGAGCTTTACAGAGTAAGACCTAAAGAATTGCAGAATCCTTGACTATTTCAAATACTCCAAGTTATTAACAGTAAATTCTGTTATAGTTTAGATAAAGGCCATCTTTATAGCCCCCCTTTGAGTTTACTCTGGGTAGACAAGTACTAAAAAAATAGCTCATGACCGACATAGTTTTTCTTCCTATTTCAGGAAATCTCCGATGAAATTTGGTAAAGTGGGTCTAATTGTCTGTGTGGTTTTCTTTACTTTGAAATAAAATAATCAGAAATTTACCTTGTTTTATAATTGTGGTCTGTTGACTTTATTATGGTAAAATAGTCTATACTCAAAATATATCTGAAATGCTTTAAATTGGCCCTTGATGGATATTGAATATCCATCAAGATAATTTATAAGCAGATTCTTCTTTAGAACTTTTGTTAGTGAACCAGGTTATCAATTTAGGTTCAATCAGGTAAAATGCTACAATAGAGAAATCATTCTCACAGTTGATGGTTATGTTCTAGACATTCTTGGCTGAGATAACAAAGTCTTGCTGATAAAACTATGTTCAATCCTAGAGATTGCCAATGAGACTTTGCATATGCCTTCCTTGGAAAAACAAAAACCTCAGTAGTTGTAAAATGCACTTGAGAAAATGTTAGAAATTTCAAATTGAAAGCACACGTGATGATTCTTAGGAAATCATTTGTTCTATTATAATGGGAGAGGGAAAGCTTCCTTTCTCTTTGAAGGTTTGTGGAAATGACTGACAGATTAATAAGAGAAAAAGGCATATGATATGCTTTGGCCCTGTGTCCATACCCAAATCTCACCTTGAATTGTAATAATCCCCATGTGTCAAGGGTAGGACCAAGTAGAGATAATTGAATCATGGGAATGGTTTCTCCCATAGTGTCCTCCTGATAGTGAGTTCTCGAGAGATCTGATGGTTTTATAAGGGGTTCCCCACTTGGCTTGGGCACTCATTCTCTCTTCTGACACTCTGTGAAGAGATGTCTTCCACCTTGACTGTAAGTTTCCTGAGGCCTCCCCAGCCATGCAGAACTGTGAGTCGATTAAACCTGTTTTTTTTCTAAATTACCAGTCTTGGGTATGTCTTTATTAGCAGTGTGAGAATGGACTGATATAGCATACAAATCTACTTAATGTGCAGAAACACAGGAACCATATAAAATATGAGATTCAAAGAGGGCCAGATGGCTGAGGCTTAAATACAGAGGTGGGAGAGAGAAATGGTGTAAGGGGTGCTATAGGCAGTTTTTAGAGAAATGATAAATGATGAGGGAAGATGAATGGGCTCAGGAGATAGACATATTAGCTTGTAAATGATTCTCTTTGTAATTTGAATGAGCCCAAGGGGCAGAACGAAATCCCTTCAGATGTGATTACATGCCTTAATCAAGGAGGAGATGGAAGGCAATTATGTTATCTTTGGTGGGCCAGGTCTTAAGGCCTACCTAAAGGAATATTAGTTAAATTTCACCATGTAATACGGATGGGCAGAAGGGAAGACAGGAGAGACGAGAAAGTCCTTGATTCTGGGATTATAGGTGTCCTGTGGTTTACAGCTATAATCCCAGCACTTTTGGAGGCTGAAGTAGGAGGATTGCTTGAGGCCAGGAGTTCAAACCAGCCTGGGTCACAAAGCAAAACCCTGCCTCAAAGGATAAAAAAAGAAGAAAGTTCTGAGGTAACTTCTAAGGCCTATTCTGTTACAGTTCAGTGTTCAGCATGCCATAATACCATATATTTTGCAGTGTTGTGTTCTAAGCCCCAACAGAATACAACAGCATACATAGTAAATGTGTATGCACATGTTCCTTAATGTTTAATTAGGTTACATCTTGATAAACCTATTGTAAGTCAAAAATATCCTAAGTCAAAAATGGATTTAATACCCTATAAACCTGTTGTAAAGTCAATAAATTATAACTTAAACTGTTGTAAGTTAGGGACCATCTGTGCTTTTTGCTTCACAAAGTTCAGTAATTTAGAGCTCAAACAAACCCTTTGTCTTTTTTTTTTTTGAGACGGAGTTTCGCTGTTGTTACCCAGGCTGGAGTGCAATGGCGCGGTCTTGCCTTACCGCAACCTCCGCCTCCTGGGTTCAGGCAATTCTCCTGCTTCAGCCTCCTGAGTAGCTGGGATTACAGGCACGCGCCACCATGCCCAGCTAATTTGTTTTGTGTATTTTTAGTAGAGACAGGGTTTCACCGTGTTGACCAGG